AGACACTTCGAGGCGCTGCGCCACTTCCTGCTGATGGAGGACGGCGAATTTGCGCAGTCCCTCAGCGATCTGCTGTTTGAGAAGGTGACGCTCTTTTGTGCTTCATATCTTTTTGTTGTCTTTATTTGAAATGGGCTGGTTGTCTCTTTCTCTCTGGTGTTGAATTCTAGCAGCGGACAGGAAAGAGAATCTCAGAGCAAGGTCAAATGCCCGGTCTCCATTTGGGAATTTTTATTTTTATTTTGTTTTATTTATGCTGCATGTATTAAATGTTGTCTGCTTGTAAAAAGCAGGCACGGGTAACCTTGAAAATTCCCCGGTCATTTATAACTCTAAACAGCCACAGTTTTAGAATGTATACGCCACAGTTAGATAGCAGTCGTTTCTTGCCTCATTACCCAGAGGGTCAGTTTCTAAGGGTTCGTATGTCCTCCTGCAAATGTGATTTAGTACCCTAGAGCCTGTGTGTGCACTGTGGTTCTGTCACATATAATCTCACAACATCGCTCATGTAAATTGCAATAACCCAATTTCCAAAAGCTGCATCAGATCAATATTTTGATATTAGTAATAGACTTGGTGACTACATGTATATATGGGGGGTTGGAGGGAGCTTTTTCTATTTTAAAAATGTCTAAAATACCACTGTTTGCTAACTGCACGCTAACATAGCAAGTGGATAGTACATTTATTGGAGTATTTAGCAGTTAAAGAGCCAGATTTCTTTTTAGGAGTTGGTGTTTGTTCATCTGCAGTCTCTGGACAGGTGGACACAATAACAAATAAACTATAAACACTAAATAAAAGCACAACAAAATAATATTATATTCATGAAATCTTAAAAACTGTCCAGCACCACACCACCAACAAAACACATACACATTATAAAATCTTCATGTCCACTTTACATTTAAAGCCAGACTATGCTATCAGTACTTCTGTGGCTGAAAAAGCTGTAAAAGGTTTTAAAAAGATGAGCGCTCGGTGATTCGTGTGGACAGTTTTTTGGATGACGAGAAGAGATATTAAAAACCTACATTTTTCAAATTGGTCGGGAGCTTGTTAAGATCTTTAATGGACTTAAATGAAAAAGACGATTCTGCACAAAAGTGGAGCGTCTATTAGGATTTACCTTGAACACTAATGCTGAAGTTCTGCTCATCTGCTGTGAGCAAAGTTGTACAAATCTTTATAAAGGTGGCCGTGCAGTACTGCGAACCATTTTCAAACATCCGAATACAAAATTAGGTTTGCAAAATATTTAATATTTCATAAATCTCAAGAATATCACAGCGGTGATGCTGTTGTGCTTTTCTGTTTAGAGCTTTTAGGGCTTGTTCATAAAGAGAAGCAGGTTTAACTTTTAACCTTGTAAGCAATTTATATCCAATTCCATCCCTGTTTGCTTGTTTTGAAGCACACGAAGCATCAGTGTGATATTTCTAGACTCTTTACTTCAACCTCTTCCTGCCAGGAATTAACAAGCACAGCCTTTGCTAACACCTTCTTGCCTTTCTGGTGAAATGATCAGGTACACCTGTCTCTTGACGCTCACGAGACAGAAGGTTTTGTTTATCCAGCTTAAATGCAGATTTCACTTATCACTCCTTTTTACTCTAAATGAGTCAATCAGCTCTTTCTAAATATGAACATGCGCCCCAACAACACATTACTTTTTTTTTTTCTTCTTTCCCCCATCTCCCACCCAGCTGGCCAGTGGCCAAACCCCAGGCGAGCTCCTAACTCCCTTAGTCCTGAATTCCATCCTCAGCAAGGCCCTGCAGTATAGCTTACACGGGGACACGCCTTTGGCTGGAAACTTCACCTTCGCACTTCGCTTCCTCCCCGAGACCTTCCACCCACATGCCCCGGACTCTCTTAACTGCTTGGAGCTGCGCTACAAGGTGAGGCTGAGTGTTTTAATGGGGTAAATGAGCAAGTACCCTTGCATGGGTGTGCTTGTCTCAGCCTGAGTGGCAGCTTGACTGTGACAGCCTGTCATGTTTTGACAAACTGCTTTGGGTGTGGAAAATGAGCTTATCGCACACTTAAATGGTTCAACTTCATAGATCGATTGGAGTCGCGTCTTTTGGGTGACATGCACAATGACTAATGCTGCACATATTGCCCTGAGTGTTCGTTCCCTCCTTTGGCTCTCAGACTCTTCCTGTTTTTGGTGGATCTCAGTCTTAACTGTCCTGGCCCACTTCCCCTCCTCGTCCTTCTCGCTTTGTTTCCCCACATTTCTCCACCCAATTTTTCTTCTACCTCTAACTCCTCTCTCTCACCACTCTGGCTTAACTTCACAATCCTCTCACCTCCTCTGTCAACGTCTCTGCACTCACACCTTTTTCCTCTCCTCCCCCACATCATCCATCACTCTCTCTTTACCTGTTTTTCTCAGCTCCTTTTTCCTTCACACTCAAAGCTCCACGCGCCGTTCTTCCTTACAGCAGTTACATTTTTGTCTTCTTTTTTTTCTCGCAACATCTCCCAGGTCGACTGGCCGTTGAATATCATCATCACAGACAGCTGCATGAACAAGTACAACCGCCTGTTTTCGTTCCTGCTGCAGCTCAAACACATGGTGTGGAGCCTCCGTGATGTCTGGTTTCACCTCAAGAGAACAGGTGAGAGGACGGAGCTGCTGATTCAGAACCCAGCTTGAACTCCAGGTTACCTCTGAGAAGCAAGAGTTCAGAATCTCCCCTGTTGTGCTGCAGTGGTTTATAAAATATACATGGAAGAGAATGTTGAGATTTTTTTTTTATTTATACAAAGCAAACCTCAGACCTGTGGGATTGTTGTAAAACCATGTGCATCACTGGGTTAGGTGATATTGATCAGTTAAAGTCAGTGTAGACTACATAAATGGAGGTCCTGATAGGATAAAAAAAAAAACCCTAAATGAATTAATATTAATAATACAGAAATAATATTATGACTCAGGCAGATCCTTTAGTAGTTTTCATCTGTAAACTGGATGAATGTCCCACATGCAGGAAATACAATCCACCAAAGTCTGTTTCATAAATGTAGTTTCAGCTATCAGTTATTTTCTGTAATGATTTATATATATTGACTTTTTGTCAAAAAGTCAAAACAAAACAACAAAAAAAGATGACTGCTACAAGTTCCCAGAGCCCAAAGTCAGCTGTAATAGCCTTTTGTTACACTAAGAGAATACAGAGAGCCTGGAGGCTTTGATTATTACATTGATTTGATACCAGCCACAAATCCTTGCGTGTCAGAGTCTGTAACCAGCAGATGTTTATGTTCTAGGTCCTTGCAGCACTGAGCATAACTTGTTCTGATGGCCTTTGTGTCTCTCAGCGCTGGTGAAAGGCGCAGGTCGCTCGGTGCAGTTCCGTCAGCTGCAGCTGTACAGACACGAGATGCAGCATTTTGTCAAGGTGATACAGGGATACATCGCTAATCAAATCCTGCAAGTGTCCTGGAGTGAGTTCACAGCCAAATTGGCCACTGCCAACGACCTAGATGCCATCCACCGTACACATGCAGACTACCTCAACAGAGCCATCTTCAGGTGAGTGCTGGAACTGCAAATGGGGAAATGCCGCTTAAGTAATTATTGCCGTTTGATTTTTCTGTTGACTATGCATAGATTAGGTACTAGTTTTTGGGCGAATTTATTTATTTTAAGAGGTCAAGAAATAACTTAAAACAAGATCAAAAATTCTGAATGAAATACATTTTTCAACAACAAAAATCAGCCTTTTGAGTGATCACAGCTGCAGTTCAGCAGATTAACAACATTTCTTGATGCTCTGTACGGGCAAAGCATGTCAAAGTAGCATTTAGCTCCCATAATTTCATCTAAAATTAATTAAACTTCCACGTAACAAGTTAATTAAAATTCCAGCTGAATCTGAGGCTAACTCATGAACTCCATGAAAGATTTAATCTCATTAGGAGAGGTTGTCAGTATCACACTCGTATTTGTCGAACTTCAGCCCGTCTGAAAGTCATTCCGAAGTTTCTTGTCATGTCTCTTAAACTTTGCACTCGTCGCCTCTCCAGGGGTTTGCTGACGGAGAAAGCAGCTCCGGTCATGAACATCATCCACAGCATCTTCAGCCTGATCCTCAAGTTTCGGGCCCAGCTAATTGCACAGCCCTGGGACAAACAGCAGGGGGAGGCAGTGCACCCAAGCTTCATTGCCATGCAGCAGTCGTACAATACCTTCAAGTATTACTCTCACTTTCTTTTCAAAGGTAAGGCCAGGGAATGTTGTTTTGTCTGTATGAATGAAAGTTCAGCTTGTTTATCTTCCTTCTAAGCTCAAAGAGGTTTGTTAGGGGTTCACGTGAGGCATCAATAAATAAGTTAGTCTGTGCAGTCTTAGTATTTTTGACTTTGCTGAAAAACTGGTTTCATTGAGTGTAAAGCATTAAAAAATATCTCTTCCTTTCTTCTCTCAGTGGTGACCAAGCTGGTGAACAGAGGCTATCAACCACATTTAGAAGATTTCCTGCTTCGCATCAACTTCAACAACTACTACAAAGACTCATGATCTTAAAGGAATCCTTTCTTCTAAAAAGTGGGTTTAATATGTCTGTAATTATTTTTTTTACACCTTCATTTCATGACCAAAATACCTTTAAATGCTGCCTGCAGTATATTATAGGACATAGCTGTGACACTCAAAAGTTTTTAGGCATTCGTCCTGAATCAGTGTGCAGAATTTAATGTGTACTTGAATAATTAAAAACAGCTTTTGAATAAATCTGTGCTGCCTGCCTGTGTGTGTGAGAGAAAGAGGGTGTGAGCGAGACTGAGATGACACTATTGTAATACATCACTTGCTGAGGTGTGCACACAGCTGTGTATATTTTTAAAAACTATAAGTGTCAGGTAAATGTACATGCTACAGCAGATGCTTTTCTAAATAAAATCTCTATTCTCTGGATGTGTGTGTCTCTGTGTTATACTTTTTAAAGTTCTTTTGTGGGATAAAGAAAATACAACATTTACACAAGTAAGAAAAATGACTCATGTTTATTAAAGGATGCATGTTTACACAGTTCTAGAAAATTAGGACAAATTAAGTGCAAAGCTGTACGGGTAGTGGCAACTTCAGCCTTTTACAAAAAGACAGGAAAAAGGGAGAAAATGCCATCCTTGCTATATTACAGAAATTTATTTTCTACAACTTCATAACCCACATTTTTACTGACTGTGCATTACTTACAAGAGAATATGTCAAGACTATGCAGCACAGCTGTAATGAGCATAATGGGCTGCATCAGCCTCTACACACTAAGATTTCTTTTTGTGACTGGGTAGAAGCATTTAGAGCAAATCTCACCAATTAAGCCACTGCTCAGCAAAAGCACAGGCACCCGCTTATATGTGAATCATCAAACCCCAAACTACTCACTGTTGGCCACTGCACTAAGCACAATTTTAGTAAAGGTGTAATTAAAGTGCCTCTGCCGTCCCCTGAGAAAGGAGGATATTGGATAAACTGCTTTATCTATGCCGCATCAAACAGCCTGCCAGTTTGGAGTTTCCAATCAGGCCACAAAGTTAGTCGACGTTTAGGGAAATGTGCTTGGTTTCCTGGAACAGAGTCGGTGTTTACGTGTGTATTCTTCTGGCTACAAGCGGCACCACGAGTTCATGAGTCAACTCTGGGAACTCAGCCATTAAAAGAAAAAGGAAAAAAAAAAAAGCTATTCTGACAAATTGCCCAGATAGCAGTTGTTCCCTTGGAAGTGCGAGACTCGCTCTTCTAATGCTCTGGTGAGCTTGAATGTGCTTCTGACTACTGCACATTTCTGACAGGTGATCTGTAATCCTCATTACCCGTTTACTGTCTGAATCAATACATGCCATAAACATCCACACCAACTAATCAATTAGCTCTCTCCCAGTGAATCCAAACATGCACTTCTTCATTTGGTTGGTATATTTAACCCAATTATCATTTTTGTTTGGTGCAGCCCACTTTTATTTAGATGGGTTTAAATTATGAGAGAATCTCATGATTATGAGATAGCGGGGGCGGGGTATAGATCCTGGAAGCTCTATTAATCTGCCTTTGGTCCTATTTACACGTTGCCTGGGTTAGTAAGTGTCATAAGCCATCTTAAACATGTACTTGATTGGACACTAGTTTGTATATAATGTTCTTAACAGACTTTTTATATCTTCCTCTTCTCGAATGTATCCATGACATAAATATTAAAATGCTGCCTGCTGTAAGAAGCTGAGTATTTACGCCTGACATCAGTGTGGAACGTCGCCAGCTCGAGTTTAAAATGTTCAATTTAGAGATTTCTGACCTGAATGAAAGGAAGCATTAGTCTGTCAATTACCATCTGCTACATGGGTGTTGATTTTTGTATGCAAACAAGATCTACCTTGTCGGTTAAGTAAACCAGGATGGTCTTTTTTTAAACTTCCTCTAAGAAAACAAAAAGAAATTCTCTTTGCAAATCAAACTTGTAATTCCGATGCGTAGGGTGATGAGCAGTCGAACAATTTTTGTTAGTGCAGCTCCAAGTTCTAAATAAAATGTGTGACATGTTTCTGCTTCTGGCACGGCGATTCTGGCACAAACTGACTGCACTGGTCACCACGCTGCAACTTTCAAGTTCTACTTCCAGCCAGTTTCTTTTCACCTTTGCCTTTTCTAAACACGGTCACACACTGACACTGCATAGGCTGCCGCTGTCCATCAAGATTTGTGTCGCAGCTCAAACGGACTGAAAATGAACAAAACTGCGGCGGCATCCAGAGGGGGCGATGAATTTCACAGGTTGCGTTACCATTAGTTGTTCTGCTCTGATTAGCATTCATATGTAAAGAAGAGCAAATTGCTTTCCCCCCCCACACACAAGTGCACTGTGGACTGTGACAGTTGAGTTGATTCTCTTTTAGCGTTACGGCTCAGTGCTCATAGTATAAGCTTTAATCTTCTGCAGAGGGAACTAGATTGAATGCCATTATTTAATCATGCACTGCAATAGATCCTAGCATATTGACTCTGGTTAAACATACATAGACAGATCATATTTACACGGGCTTTTGGGGAAACGAGCGTGAAGTCGTTTCTGGGCCGTTTCCCGCTGACATACAAATCATCTTAGAACTTGTTTACATAGGTAGCCGAGGAAAATGTCGAGCATAAAAGTAATTCAGTTTAGTGGGAAGGCTTAAGATAGCCAGGGTGCCAAGTCTAACTTCACAGTGGCAAGAGAGCCGAGAAGAAAATGTTTTGCCAAGTGTGTACCCTGCTTTGAGACACACATTACGAGGCTAAAAGGATAAAAATATTAAACTAGGCAAGAGCGGCTGCTCTAAGGATAAAAGGAGCTGATGTCATTTCAACTATCCTACACTATCATAAAAGTCTCCAATCCTGTCAATTAGTACATTCGGTGGTAATTTGATGGTGTTACACAAACACAAACCTCAAAGTGCAGTAACGTTTTCTTTCATAAATAATCAAGGAATGAATGCCAAAGTATTTGCGTAAGAGCCTCACATACGTGTTAACAAGCAAAGTAAGGTAAAGGGATTAAATTCTCCAAACACAAAAAACCACTTCAAACTATGTAAACCTAAAAATAAATGTAAACCTAAACTGAAAGAAAATGAGTCACCACTCTGTTAAATGGCTCGGGATTTTAGGAGACGATGAAAACGCATCCAGTATCTATGTGGTGTCCCTTTTGATGTGCGCACCACCTACAGTGGTGCAAAGACAAACTCCACATGCAAAGACTGATGTTGCAGTCTGAGCACGGGCGAAAATAAGTTCTTTTTAGATGTATGTATGTATGTATGTATGTATGTATGTATGTATGTATGTATGTATGTATGTATGTATGTATGTATGTATGTATGTGTGTCTGGTCAAACCCATGTCAACATCTTAAGATTTTAGCACAGCAAAAGAGAGAGAGAGAGAGAGAGATGTAGTTACTGAGGGTTGGTGGATGTGGCCTATCTAATATTGATGTCACAGTACCAGAGTTAGGGCTGGGCATCAGAATGAAACCTCTGGGGCAAAAGCAGAACTGTGGCCCTGGTTTTGACTGGCTCATCTTTTTTGGGGGTGGTTAGGTGGGAGAATAATCTAACCGGAACTAGGCTTCAGACTCCAGATCTTCTTGTCCTGCTCCTTCGGTCGTGTCACCCGTCTCAGGCTCAAGCAGCAGGAACTTGCCATCATTGGTTAGAGGCATGTTCTTCATTAGCTGGGCCAGGGCTTCCGGGTCCTTAAAAATGTTAAACAGATTTGCTGAGGAACAATATCCTTAATTTATTTTATACCATTTTTTCCCCAACTTTCATCAGCTTTGTTGGCTACAGTTACTCAGGATCATGGTTTGATGTTTGATAGGAAGAAAAAATAATCTTAATCAAAACATATATTGGTTGTTTTTAAAGCTCAAAGCAAAAAGATCTAAAGTTTTACATTTTTTAAGACGTTACCTTCTTAGCTTCTGTAATCTCCTTTGCCAGGTTTATGGTGTAACATATCTGTGAATAGACAATCACATATAGTGTGTTGATATTATATTACATTTAACATGTTCTTCTACTTGAAACCGAGTTGTTGATTCTGGGTTGTGAACCTTTTCGCCCTCCGTGTTGCTCTCAAAGACGAAGGCGCTAAACGATGGTTCTCCCTCCTCGTCTCCATCGCTCCAGTCTCTGCTTTCAACCACAAATCCCATCAGCCTCCCATTCTCCTGGTGGGCTGCGAATTGACACACTTCTCCAAGCTGGAACTGAGAATAAATAAAATAAAAACTGTGAAGTGTCTTTTAAAGAAGTTCAAATACAGAAACCTGACAGAGCTCAATAAAAGAGCATCTGTGATACCTGTTGTGATACTTACACTTAGTCTTGTAACTTGAGTCTGTGGGTCTATCAACCTGTTCAGGAAAACAAAACAAACCACAAAAACACTGAAGTCATACTCAGGATTTCTATTCTGAGAGTGTTAAAAAAAAGCAACCGTGGGTTACGTAGCAATTCAACATCACAAAGTTTGTTCTTTGCTGCCAATATTCATGCTTCACAGGGTTCCTGCTTCAAGCTTCTTTTTGTCGTTTACCTCAGGCAATGACCTACGGCAACTTGCCAACTTTAAGATTGTGTTCCAGTGGCATCTTGACATTCTTTTGTTTGTTTGTTATTTTTTCAATGGCTCTCACTTAACTTCAATACATTTAAAGTTATGTAAATGACTTGTGCTGCCTTGGTGCTACAGACAACTTGGATTTGCGTGCACAAGATGAACGAACTTCAAGTTCTCCATAAGTGCTTTGCATGGTGTGCTTGGCTACAGGAAACAGACGTAGCTGTGATCAAGGTCCAAACCAGACTATGTCACTCAGGCTTTAATGCAGTAAATGTAAATATAAAAAACACTGACAACCGCCAGTGTCTCAGCTTAGCCTCAGCCTCCCAGTAGATGCACAGACCTAGGTCGCATCGTTCTGTTTTATGTGTTTACAAGATTTTCAGAAAACCTGACCTGCGATTTGAAATGGATTTTTACTATCAACTTGACAATCCTACATCGTTGCGCTCTTGACTTTTCGTGTTCACAAAATTGGGTGTCCACACTGCCCGTCTGGCTGCCCACACAGCAGATTAACAACAATACGTTGTCAACCTTTTGCAGCTGAGGTGTAATAAAAACTAAAATTAAAGTATTTTTTTATTTTATAAAATAAAAATGAAACTATTGGAAGAATCAAGGTAACCATGAGTTGAAAGAAAAACACTATGAATATTTTTTTTGACCTTTTTGCACATGTACCTGCACCACTGAAAAGAACTTTGTTTCTATATCAACGAGATATTTCCAAGTGCCTCAAAACAAGTCCCCATATCTGTCTCCAGCAGGTTCATATTGATGTAAAACTTATTAAAATTGTGCTGAAAGTCTACCTGAGGCTACTGCTGGTGACCATGAGGTGGGCCTCTGTGGTCCTGAAGATGTTGTGAATGGCTCGGGCAGCCAGCACTTGCCTCATGGCCTCGTAGATCACTTCCTGATTGTCGCCGCAGCGAACCGCCATGGAGCCCAGGAAGCGCACAGCGAATACCTGCTGAAGCAGGGAGTCTGCAGAGACAGACAAACATCATGCGCAAGCTAAATATGTCAGCAGAATAAAAGCACAAGGACAGTGAACAAAGAAGTTGACCGATGACAACCACACACTGAGGTTAAGGTGAACTTAAAAAGTACTTAAAAGAGAGTGGACTATTAAAGTGCACTTAGAACAGGAAATTGTTACCATCAGTATCTGTCGAACAGTCGTCTTCTGTTTCTCCAAATGGGTTTGTGCGTCTGTCGGGATGGGAGCAAACACCAGCAAGAAAAAAAAAACAATTAAAGCACTGCGCTACACAATTACGAAGCTATTTGCTTCCTGGAAATGACGTGAGAACCACAATGAGACCAACATTTAGGAAATTAGTGTCATCGCCCACCAGTAACTCGCCCCTGTCTTTTGCAAAAACACAAACAAGCACCCACACAAACTTCCTGTCTCAGCTGGGCTCTCACCTCCCCCCAGTTCTGTTCTGGTCCTGAAATTCGGACGCAGGCAGCATGATGTCAAACTGAATGGGCGTCCCCGGGGCTATTAGGTCCTCTGGTTCTGGGGCAACTCCTGTTTTCTGAGAACCACTGCTGGTAGTATGAACACCTCCTGGCTTAGCTCTGCAGAAATGAGACAAAATAAAGATGAGTTCTAATGAATAAACCAAGAACACACCCACCCACCCCCACCAATAAAGGATAAGACAGATTGGAAAAATGTGAACCTAATACTTCAGTCAGCAGCAGCCGTGAAATGATTCATGGAGTGTCAGTGAGGGGGCAAAAATCTACAATCCTCAAGAGAGGATTTCACACTGAAAATCCTAACAATGAAAGATAACTACTTAAGGCAGACTTCAAAGTGTATTTCTGGTCTTCCACCAATTCTTAAACTTGCTTTAAAAACATGAACAGAAGGAAAGATTACAGCAAACAAAACCCACCCTCCTCTGTTTAAAAGAAAACACAAAGCTTAATCTGAGGGAAAGAACCCTGTTCAACAAAGGGTATTTACAGGGATGCATAAGATGTTTGGCTTTGGCACATTTCCAAAGCTCAGTGGCACTTTTTTATTTTTTAACGTTACCCGACTTCATTAGCAGGAGCTTTTGTAGCACAGAACTAAGAAAACTGCTTGTTTGTTTGTTTGTCCTTTCACCATGACACGAAATATTACATTACAAGCTTTGGATTGTTATGCAGTACTGAATGTAGGATTCTGAACACACTCTCACATAAGCACATGCCTGACCTGTCGGGGTTGGGTGAGCCGTCTTGTCTCTTCTCAAAGCTGGTGATGGGAGTCACTGCCTGGATGGCGGTTTGGTTCAGTCGGATAGCCACAGCCTAATATCAAAGAAATCAGGGACTTTTCAGTATCTCACATACTCGTAGTTTGAGTCATTTAGGGAATATAAATGATCCTAAAAACAAGTACTTTCCAAGTACTTGCTTCATTGTCTTCAGTGTATTTTCTCAACCTCATGTTTGCTCTGTGAACCATAAGCAGTTTATTTAGTGGCATCCCTAAAAAACAGCAGATGGTTTCCTGGTTTCTATTTGTTGTTTAGTTCATATATAATTAGGTATAGGATTTGAGGGATGTAATTATTTACAGTAATGTGGAATGCTAACTGGAAAAAGAAACCAATCACTAAATAATAATTAGAAATCCTGCTTTAGTAAATCTGAAAAGAAAACCTGACCAAATTCTGTCGAGAATGTTTTACGTAAAGGATATACTGGAGAGCAGGTTTATTCACTGTACTAAGAGGTTTCACTCTAATTAAGAAAAATCCACCAAACAATTAACAAAAGTCACATCACTGACGAGACAAATGAGGGTGAGGTCACGCAGCTCTCCACGAACACTTGAGTTGGGAGAGAGAACGGAGGCAAATTGCACAACTTTAACAATTAGATAAACAAGAGAAGCTGCGTCGAAAATCATTCTCCATCTGCTGCCTGGCGCGCTAAACTTCATTACCGGCTCTTCTGGTAATTCTATCCAGCCCACTCAAAAATTCTCAAACTCGGAAAAAACAAACAAACAAAAAACCTCACTCAGTCCAACAGCTATTCACTAGAAATCCTGAAATCTCTCTCTTGAGGTGATAAAACCATAATTTCCAGGTCTATAACAGCGCACCTGTTAACGGTGTCTGAAATCTATGTGAAACCCCCCAAACGATTACCACGGATGAAAAGTAAGCGCATAAGAGTGAGGGCAGTTTTGGATGCAGTTATTTCATTATTAGAGAATGTGAAGAATAAACATTTGCAAAGCAAATATACAAGATTCTGGGACTGAATACCTCTCAAGGCAAAGACAACAGAGATACTGTGAGGGCGTGACAGAGTAAAGGTTTGTTAATCTTTACTTTTTATGTTACTTAAATAGATTAAACATTCGCCAGTTAATGTGTTAACTGGATGTGTGTTAATGTCTTAAAATGTTATCCTTAAATGACTGGTTAATCGTCTTTTATCTTATTTTTATTTTTTTAAATTTAAACAGTGTGTATCTGTGCTGGTTAGTATGAAATCTTTACCTCTGGGTTGTCAGTCAGGTAGATCTGTCTGGAGATGTTGTTCACAGTGCAAATCCACTGAGAAAGAAACAGAAATTACTACATTAGGCTTCATCTAGCTCAGGCACAGCGTGAAATCCCTTGACTGATACCAGCTGTGACAGGCCAGTCACTTGTGTCCGAGCACAAAACTTAATACGAAAACACACAAATGAGTCTTGACAGTCTCTCCATTGTTCTATGACAGATACTCGTAGCAGCGGATAGCTTCGTGAAGTGGATGTAAAACAAAAACGAAGGTCAAATGGAGCTGTTTGAGCTGCCCCTTCACTCACTTCTTCATACTCTTTTTTGCTCTCGGCTTGTAGAATCATTGACCTGCAGAGACACAATGTTTATGCATTATTCTCACTGCCGAGCATGGAGAAACTAAAAAAAAGAAAAAAAGAAAAAAGTACATACGTTTTTCCTGAAGGGGAAGTTATCTGAAAACAGTAACGTCTGTCCTCACAATCCACCGCCATGACAGAGCTGTTATCCAGGTCCAGCACCATGCCTCCTGCTACAGCCCCCCGCGGCTGGCACATGAGATTCCCTCCCTGGGTGAAGAAATACAGACGATCCCAGGCTGTGGTCACTAGGCCTGTTTTACTGGGGAAGAAAAAGAAGAAACAGAAGAAACAGCGTTTGAATCAAAGCCATAAATGTAGATCCAGATCGTAAGTGTAAAGTAAGATAATGGATACTATTTGTATGCAATTAGCTTCGAGGTGATTTGAACAACAAAGTGGACGATTTTTATTTTTTCTTTACAGCAGGTCTCTCCATCTGGTAATTTCTCAAAGGTCATAATGACCCAGTGACCTCTGAGATTAGTCTCTTAATCTGCGCCTCAGAGGGATCTCTTAGTCTTTTTAGTGACCTTACATTCTAGAAGTAAAATTAGTGTGTCAGACTTATCTGTATGAAAGAGCAAACACAGCTCGTTATTAAACAGCCTTCACAAATCAATGATATATGTCAACATATAGGCCCCAGAGGACCTCTATCCCATCTGTACAAAGACAAAGGCAAGACATGATTCAGTGCAACAACTCTCAGTGGTTGTATGGCTACAGTAATATTTGCCACAGGACAAATTTATATGAGCTGCTTTAAAAACACATATAGATGAACTAGTCCTGTAAGAACGTCTCCTGGAAAATATATTGAACACAGAAACTAGTCTGCAATTCATAATGTTATTATAACTGAGATGCACGTGCAGCGGTAGGTTAACTTTATCCATTCATCCCCTATTTATTCCATATTTTATTCCAACATCTTGCACCACCGCATATATAAATATAAATATGCTGTACGTGTAGTTGTTGTCTGTATCGCCTGTTGTCTACTCTGAAAGAAATAAACAGATGTTATGCTTGTAGCAGCAGATCTATAGATGTTTACAGACAAGTTTCCCACTTACAAACAATGGAGGATGTGTATTCAGCAGCCAGACAGAAGCCTTGCACAAGCTCATATTATACAGCACAAACAGTGGGCCCTCAAAACACACCCGATGATTAGAATCACTGCTCAAAAGCCATCATGATGGATGGTGATTTTGCATACCTTTGGAAAACTAGAAAACATGACAGATTTCTGATTTAAAAAAAGACACTGTGTGCTCATCTATTAGCTGGTGCTATTTCCTGCATTGAAACATTAGTAATATTTAATAACCAGATATATGAGCACACAAACAGGGCACCTACTACTTAATTCCTGGCATTACTTGAGCTAAGATCTGACAGGCGGGTAACCTTCTCTGAATAATAAAGATTCACCTTGTTTTAATTTTTAATCCATGCAGCTTAAAGCTGTTGATAAAGCTTTAATTATGAGTCGCTTACAGCCCACATTTTAATAATGACTCGTAAAACACATTTATGTAAAGCTCACAGAAAGATAACATCTCCTACATGATAGACACTTAAATACTTCATCCATTCATTTTATGGAATATTGCTGTGGTAATACAAACAGGATAATGTTCATTACTGATTATTATTATATATTCATGAATGCTGTTACCTGAAAGTTTCACAGAACTCAATTTTCCTGTCATTTTGGTATTTTTTTCTTTTTACTGTTTACATTTTTTGTTTTTAATAGGCAGAAATCTTCTTATCCATCTCCAAAAAAAGCACTTAAAAGCAATAACTGATTAGAACAAAACTGCACGTATCTGCTGTGGTCTGCTATATTCCTTAGAGTTCGGGTAATTGTACAGAGGTCATTTTTTTAGCTTGCACTTAATGTCTCGTCTTTGGTAATGTGAAGAATTTTTATTGAGAATCTAAAACACGAACTGCACATCCATTGTTGAAACCATGATTAACTATTTTAATAACATTTTCACACCAACAATTTTTCCCCGCTCATCATTTGATTCCACAAGTAGATCCTGAGTTGTCTTCTTTTTTTATTTTTGGGTTGTTTTATTTTGGCTCTAAATTTGTTTTGGCTATTAATGTTGTCTATGCAATTATAACGAAGCTAGGATGTAACTCAACTCTGAGTCACCCCATTTCTGATCTATACATGCGTGACTCATTTCAACTGCGCATCTGTAAACCTTCAATTTTGTACGCTCTGTTCAACAAATATTCCCAAATAAATGTCCTTTGATAAATACTTAAGTGTATGGCTCGTTTTGCCCTGGGTGACTCAGACCCTTAATACTGAGAAACCATTTGAAACAGAAAATGTTTTCTGGCCTCAGCTCTATTTGACAAGTGTTTGAGGCTGTTGGCAGTGTGTGTCATTAAACAGAATGGCATTCTGTGGAAACCTTTTCTCCGGTGTCACAGACATTTGTCAAAGACTTTGGATGTATATGAGGGAGAGACAGAGTTTGACAGCTTTGACATTTCACTAAATCACAATGCGAGCTACGCAGCAGTTTTATCCCTTGAAGCCATTAAGGAAGTTTCCTTTGCCATACATCTAGTCTAGTATAAGCTGACAACGCACACTGTCAACATGTTACCTGACATACCTTGTCTGCCGTGACAGACTTACTGTTTACTGTGTTCGGCTTATTTTTAAGTGTATTTGCTGAGAGAGAGAGAAGCAAAAAATCATTTCCTGGTTGTGTTTGGTAATTTAGGCATTTGAAATCTCCCGGAGCCACTGTGGATCAATGGCACCATCTACTGAACTGCATTTAATTTCCTGACAAAATTGGAAATGCCACTTCAGTTTGTTTCCTTTTGTGGCATCCTTTAACATATTGACTTGGTAGTAAGTAGGAAGTGTCCTTAGATTTTCAGATAGGGCCATAATGAGTGTAATTAATCTTACTTCCGAATGTTGAGGTAGCCAGCCTTCTGGATAAGCGTGCGATTGACAGGCTCTGTGTCCTTATCTGGCATGTAGACAGTGTCTTCCACAGACAGAAGCTCCCTGTGGGACACTCGCATGGCCTCCGCCTCTGAGTCCAGCTGGGCCTGGATGCTGAGATGGAAAACCGAAATCAATCTAAACTCGCTCCAGAATTTTTTTTCTCCCCCCACAGAGCATTTAATTACAAAGACATTAAAAAAAAAAATCATTCAATACTATTATGTAGAGCAGCGGTCCCCAACCTTTTTTGCGCCACAGACCGGTTTGTGGCCGACAATATTTTCACGGACCGACCTTTAAGGTGTCGCGGATAAATACAACAAAATAAAACCAGTACCGAAAAAAAGAAGATTTATTCATAACACACGTGAAAAGACCCAGGAAAACCGAATTAATGAAAAAAAAAAAGATAACAAAATAACACTAAAACCGATAAAAACCCTGAAAACCATACACTTCACACCCGAGTCTCACTCTCGCAGCCCGGTACCAAATGACTCACGGACCAGCCCGGGGGTTGGGGACCGCTGATGTAGAGCACACAAAAAAAAAAAAATCATAGTAACATTATGTCTATTTCCAGTCACACACAAGCATCAATACCCCATAATACTTACTCCAAAGCCATATTTCATCACCTCACCACCCAAAACCAAAACAGTTGTGAATGGGATTGGACTTACCTTTGTGTCATGTTGGAAACAGAAGCGAGAAAACAGTCCATCTTCTTTGACACCAGCTCAAAGCCTTTCTTAAAGAAGCTGATCTGCAAAATCAAAGATAACACTGAGCCACTTTGTACCATACTGCACATGCATGTTGCAGCTCACATGCCCATAGATTGGGCATTTATTTAAAAGGATGAAATTGTACATCTCTTTAAAGCTAAATCTGGTCTAATGAGGAATCATTTCCCTCTTTTTTAAGCACTTAATTTGAATGCTGATATGATGACAGGATGGGGTGATTGAGTACCTGTGCCTGAGTGTAGCCTAGCATTGGTTCAAGCATAGCTACTCTCTTGCGATACTGCAGGGCATTGAGGGCACAATAATACTGCAGTGAGGCCTGGTGCTGCTTTCTTCTGGTGTAAGCCACCTCCTTCACCAAGTCCGCCTTCAACTATTCAGACAGGAGAGGGACATGCAAATAAGCAGCACAGCAGCACAATCTTGTACATCCAAGAAAACACGTTGATATGTTCAGCATAGCAAAAAGAGTCTCATCTTTGCACCCATTATAATGCATACACTGTAATGTGGTTACAGTCATACTCCCACGAGGAGGCACGGCAGCAGAGGATTATTTAGTTTAATCCATTTGTACTTCAAATGCTTTTAAAAGACTCCCACTGCATTAATGAGAGCATTACAGTGTTGCGTGCTCGTTTTACAGCTTGTGATCAATGAGAAAGACAAGCTAAGAAAGCACTTGGCAGTTACTCTACCTTCTCATTTTCCTTCTTCTTGGGCAATCGACTGTACTTGACCATAGCTGCCTCATGCTCTGCACAGAACAGAGGAAAGACCGTGAGCATCAGATAGTAACTATTTCCTGTCATTTTCTTTTCTCAGACTGGCAAAAAAAATTGTTTACCATCAGTTCCAATGGCAAATATTTCCTTCAGTGTGCTTATCTCTGCAAAATTGACAAATATTATTAGAGATACATCTACAACAGGTATTTAAAAATGCATGATCACCTAGGTTTTGCTTATGTTTTTATGAGGAGGGCTTTTAAAAAAAATCCAAGTCTGTCAGAAGCTACCTGTGAGGTCTTTCTCTCGGAACTGGATCAAGGGGAAGACCATGCTGTCAGCCATCTGGTTAGCTAGCTCGGAGTGGAGTGCATTCAGCTGGACGATACAAAACAGATTACACATATGAGGCGCCGTGCAAGGACACAAACAGAAGATGAGCCTCCCCCAAACATCTTGAGGGATTTCGGTTTAATATTTACAGTAAAATTTCTTGCCAGCAAGCTGGAAAATTGCATTTTCAGTGAAATAGGGGCATTGCGGCAGACAATGCCTCCCCCTACATCATAATAAAGCCATACTGTGGAAGAGCACATTTCATAAAGAGAATAATAAAGCTTAGTGTTTACTCTGATACTGGAAACAGGGCTGCATATCAGACAAATTCAGCTATTATTCCCTGTGGTTATCAACAAGCCACATGACGATTTAGCAAGTTCTAAAGTTCACAAGATTAGGTGCAGTTTAAGCCTAATCTCAGTGTGAAATTTGTTTCCTGTGCATGACAAGGTAAAAGGTCAAGCAAATAATCAACGTGTGTCCTCTGAGCATATGGGTGTGTGTCATGAGTGCTGACTGGGCAAGGCTTGTGGACCCCCATGGCTGACAGTGACAGGCCCATCTGTTTTGTCTATATACGTGAGCCGGCACACCACTCCATCATCTACTCATCCATCCACCCGCCCACTGCTGTTTTCCTGTATTCCTCCATCCAGTGAGATACACTGATCAATCAGTTCCGGTCGCACAGTCTTAAAAGTCCTCTGCCCTTTTCATTGAGCTCATTTTCTCTGCCATGCTAGGGGAACGCAGGTGCAATACCCTTTGTAACATGATAAAAAAGCAACTACAGACTCCGGGATAGTTCATCATCTCACTCTTTTGCTGTGCACGCACACACCCCGCGTAAAAATACTCATAGAGCAAGAAAACTGCAAGCACGGGCCTTACCTGCCCTACAGTTTTGGCGAAGTTTTGCAGCGTGGTGATTACCTCCTCATCACCTCTTCCAAGGGCAAAATTCTAGACAGAAAAAAAGAAAGAGCAGTGAGTTTAGACCATGAAACTGTGAAATTTGCCATAGATTTATTTAATGTGTAGGAAATGGAATGGGCTGGCATTTATATTGCACTTTTCTGCTCCTATAGAGCACTCAAAGTGCTTTAGACCACAAGCCACATTTAACCATACATTAAAACACTCTAAGCACTTTAGCTACCTTACATCGAATCGCCAATTCACCTAACACATATGTCTTTTGATTTTGAGAGAAAGCCTGAGCCTTGAAGACACAAGGAGAACATGCAGACTGCGCTTAGAAAGACCCCAGCTGGGGTTCAAACCCAGAATCTTCTCGCTGTGAGACACATTTTAAATAACCGCCCTGTTCTGCCAGGATTTCTGGCACATCCCTTTCATTAAACAAGGCCAAAGATATCTGTGTAGGTTCTCGGTCATCAGGGTCATGGTAGAAAACACAGACAGACAAGGTCAAAGATGGTAATAAAGCCAGTAGTTAATGTCAAGATGCTGAGTTTTAATCATAAGAGTGCTAAGAAAGTTCTGCAGTTACAGATCACTGCTGTTTTTGTTTTTTTAAAGTGTTCACATTCACCCTGCAATCCAGAACAAAGTCTACCAACAAAGGTCAACTATCCACATATGTTTCTCTAAATGAATTAACAGATTTGTGGGTTTTTTTTTGCTGCACACAGGAGGAAGGACACATGCAAACTGACACACAGACAGAAAGTTCATTTCAAAATGATAAAAAAGTCTCTATAGCCCACATGGATACTACTCATAACACAGACTGCTGTCTTTTTTGTGGAATCACACGATTAAGTAAGCATATGAAGCCTACTTACTTTCTTTTCGTATTCCAAAAGTTGCTTTGAGAGCTGCTCTGTGGCCAGTCCCATCTCACTCTGTGGTGGAACGAAAGAAGGAAAATAAATACATGTTAAAAAGGACTGATTACTCCTTCAAGCTCAAACATCATGCATTTTTTTTCCACCTACTGAGAACATTTTAAAAAAACCGTTTTTTGGGTGCAATGTGATTCAATATCTGTTGAAAAGCTGGCAAAAACACCAGAGGGCACCTTCAATAATGAGATACCTCAGAGAACCAGGGTTACATTAATAACACAGCGTTTAAACCACAATGTAAATATAGGTCAAAAACAAACTTGTACATCAAATGTTTTCTGCTCCATTTCTACAGGAGACAAATTTTCTGTGTGGGGCTGAGAGTATGGTGTTGCAGTTTGGTACGTTTCTCATCAAAAACAGTAGCTCAAATGGCATCCTAAATCAAATCAAACACAACACTCTGCTGCTGTTCAGTGATGCAAAACCCCAGAATCAGCAAGTTAAATTAGAACTCATGTTCATCTACAAACATAAGGGGGGGGGGGGGAATCTCCTATTATGTGTTTGAACATGTGGCTCTGTTCCAAACAGCAAATGGAAAGGAGTGCAAGCATGCGCCTGACAGTAATTTGTTTTGGTACCTGTGCTCCGAACACCCGCTGCATTGATTGTAGCAGCTGGTTGGTGTAGTCTGTAAGCATTCCCACATCTTCCTCAAACACACTGAGCAAAGAGCGAGTCTGTGGTACGGGGAAAAAACAAAAACATTACAGACTCTTCTGATGACTATAATGGCATGAATAGCTGAACACGAAGTGAAAAACCTTATCCAACAATTATCCCACTAACTTACAGAACTTAAATATTCTGATAACTGATCTCAGTTCCTTCACAAGGTGAAAAATATCACTGTGGCTTTTTTGTTGTGATGGATTTTAGGCTGCCACGATTTGTCGACTAGTCACGATTACGTCGACTATCAAAATCGTCGACGACTGATTTAATAGTCGACGTGTCGTTTGAAGCTTTGTAAGATCGCAAAAGACGCAGGAATAATAGCAGGATTTAAGAGTGTAATAACGGACTGAAACAGAAGATGGCAGCACTGCATGTACAAGGATGCCAGCTGCCGTTAAACCCCGAAGAAGAAGAAGCAGCTGTGTCCCAGAATTCATAGCGCGGCCCAGCTTAGTTTCCAACAATGGCGGTAGCTAGTTAGTTTTAATATTACTCTTATTATTCTTTCTGGGTCACAAAATAAACGTTTAACATATTTTCAGGCGAGAATGTAGCTGTGTAAACCTCAAATATCGGCTCAGTTTATCAGGACACCACATATTTTCAAAAGCGCTCCGACGTTTTCGGAGACGTCTGTTACCCACTAGCTCGATAGCTAGCCGGGGGCTAGGTCACTAGCGCCGTGAGAACACCGGACTCCCGGCAAATTGTTTTCAAACCCACCGCCGTCTTTCGCACTCAGGTTAAATATATATGAGTCACTTAGATAAATTAAAAATGTTTTGTTTGGCTTTTTTTTTTTTTAGTATTTTATTTGTTCCTGAGTAAATCGGTTTGGCTGAGATTAAAGTTATAGTTTTTACACAGCTGAATAAACGTCAAGCAGACAGCTGATTATCAGAAGTGTGAGATGCTGGAGAATATACTCCGGTGTCCTGTTATATTTTAGATAGCAAGGAGTTTATTAAACTTTACCGAAACAATCTGCAAATTTCATTAAAATTGAATAAACTATCATCTTGTCTTTATTTTTAGTTAGCACCTTAAAAGCTTAAAGCTGTAAGCTAATGATAGTTATATAAGAGCAGATGCTGCTGGTGCAATAAGCTGTAGTTTTACGTCCAGTGGATGATGATCTGATTAGTCGACTAATCGCATAAATAATCGGTGACTAGTCGACTATCAAAATAATCGTTTGTGGCAGCCCTAATGGATTTGCATGAAACCCCATATGAAAGCCCAGCATCCTGGAATATTGTAATGGAAACTTTTAAAACTGTTTTCCGACCAATGAAAAAAAAAAGAGAAGAAAAATAAACTTTGAAGAACAGATATACTGTAAATAAACAAGTACTTCCGATGATAAATACTGGTCTTAACCTTAAGTCAGATAAAAATCTACACAAGTCACTGAGCTCAAGAAATGTGGGTAGCCGGATTATACTCAAGCAAAACTTAAAGTTAAACTAAAGGCATACGTGTTTTACTGCAGGGTGGATATGCAAACAGACAAAATCCTGTCTGGTGAAGTGTTTTCCATAAACAGGTGCAGCAAGGTAGGGCAGTTCAAGCAGAACGGAACACACCCAGAGAGTGAAGTCTGTTTATAGTTCACTCAAACCGACTTATCCAATAAAAGGACCATGATTCATTTCACACCATCATGACGTTTGGCTGTATGTGTGTTACTGTACAAAGATGCCAGGTCCATTTCTTGTTTTGAGGAAGCAAACCACTAAGCAGACGGTGACCCTCCAGCGTGGGCTACACTTAAGCAGAACCTCCGAAGAGGTCAGCCCTCTTTAGGAGAGAGTGATGCAACAGACTACAGAAAACAGGATGCATTAGCTGTAGCAAGGACGGAATTCATCACCCACGGTCATGCATGAAAATGAATGCCGAACTTGGTGAATAACTTGTACACAGTGTAAGCGTTTTGTACCCTGTAAAAATTTGGCATCTTATTTTTGCAGTAACACTGTCCTGTTTGCAGACTGTTGACTAATTCCAGGGGAGTCCGATAATGGAAACCCCTCCCACATCCTGGGAATCAGGCCCAGAAGGGCTACAGAACAGAATTTAGATCAAAATAACTTGACGGCATTAGAAAATAAAACGATTGCAGGACACCGAGTCTGGTGGAGCTTTATGGCTGTGACTGACACAGGTCTAGATGTACAGCAGATAATCATCTCTGGCAGAGAGATGGAATCCCTAAGAAGGGCGGTAGCTTTGTAAATACAACAGAGACACAAAAAACAGATAACCGTGACATGCTGTAGAAATGACTGGAAAGTGCAGCTACTGCTCACAGGGGGATTACAATTCTTGTAACAATGTGTCAATTGAGAACTGTCATCGACCAGTGGAAACAGACTACAACGGGTACTGGATACTGTCTGGGCTAAGCTAACTTCGGCGCTCGTAACGCCTTTAATGAGACAGCTGGGTACGCAAACATGAGAAAAGAGACGCAGGCCTACCTGAGGACTGTCCTGTAAAGCGTCCTCCAGGAGCAGTTTGTGATGTACGGCCGGCATCTTGTTAGCTGTGCAGGAGAAGGGAACGAGGGCTTGAATTATTTAGAGTACGGACTCAATTTCCCAGAAACTACTGCGCGAAAGAGAAGCCGTATGCAATTGGTAGCAGGCCCAGTCATGATGTCATCTAACAGCCGGTGACCAGTAAGAGTAAACATTCTCAAACTCTGAAGTTGTTTAAAGACATATAGATATATATAATGTATATCTATATATATAGTTCAGTGTTTAAGTTGATTTTGTCCTCTGAATTATTTACGGCAAAGAGTCGGCAATAATGGCCATGCATCCTAGGAGATTTTAATGTCAACAGTGACCCCGTGTGGTCGCATAAAGAATTGCAGCATTGATTTTTCAAATTTTTCAAATTTAAAGGAAAAACACAAAGTTTCTTCGTGAGGTGACGGAATGTAGTGCTGTGCAGTACTACACTTTTTAGATGCAATATCAAGTAAATAAAGGGCCACTACTGACGATACCAATATTGACAGCCACGATTTAAAGCTATAAAGCTTACGGAGTGGAGAACAGTGTCATGTTGTATGAGATAAAGCCTCCTTAATTGACAAATTCTGAACACATTTTAATGAGTTTAATAAAACAAACACACATTTCAGTTTTTCATGTATTTTGAAATTTGGTTTTTCAGAATTCTAAATGTTCCTCTCTATTTACTGTTGTTTAAATGTGCTATAGGCTATACAAATAGATTTGACAGTCAACACAAAAGGGTTCAGACATTTTTCATAGTGGATATTTTTTTCATTTCCAAAAAAAAAAAAAACCCCAAAGAAAAAACCAAACAAAACATAAATAATGTATCCCAATTCATTATGCTCGAACTTAGAGGATAGGAACAAAGTATCAATCTGATACCTATCCCATCCACCAACCTCTGGATGGATCATCATGTGCCAGTAGAAAAACATTAGTGCGCCACTGAATTCTACTGGAGTCCTGTTTAAGTGTTGGGAGAAGGCACTGTCTGATTTATTGGACCAATGTCTTCCATAGATGCTCAGCTGGGTATAGATAACATAACATTTCTATAAAATTTATACTCATCAATCCATTTAGTGGCACTATTACCCTGGAAAAGCTCACTCCACTCATGACAAAATAAAATGTTCCTTTACTTTGTGAAACAACAAAAAACAAGCACAAAACAAAAAGATTATTGATTGATATGAGGCAGCAGTTAGTATTTATTGAGAGATAAATGGATGTAGACCGATGGATGGTGATAAGTTGCACAAACCTTTTAAAATTACATTTTAGTCTGGTAAGTAATCAGGACCAGAAGCTCTTGTCTTGATTTGCATCAATCGCAACTGACAAATTGGCTGAGCATGTGATGTGCTGAGTTTCTGGCTCTCTAATTAAATCGCACTTACTGCAAAAGGCTATACAAAGTAAAACAAAAACAACTAAAACATATGTACTGTTTTGTCCTAACAGGTAGTTTGAGAAATAAACCTTTGCAAAATTAAACCTTTATATAACTTTGATATAATGAATATGAGAGTACTCACTATTTTTTTTTCTCTCTGTAAAAATCTGTATTAACATCAGCCCTAAAACTTAAAAACCTAAAACAAATCCAGCTATATTAGGCTGTGGCACAGTAAGAAGACAGCATGTAATATGCACTCATGTAGTATTTTACATTTTTTTCCAATGTGAATAACTGTCTTGTTGACTTGTTAGGATGGCCATGTCATGTTGTGTTTTGCCTCGATAATCTAGGCAAGCTGTGACAAGCACAGCCTCTTCATCAAGCTTCCAGGCAGCCTGAGTGGGAGATCATTCTTCGCTCCCCAGTGGACTTGCCTTGTTTAATTGGTGTAGTTGTGGCTGTAAATCAGACATAGCTTTTCAGCTCTAACTTTGATAATGAACTATGCTTGAAGTCTGGTAAAACAGCAATGGATAATGTCTGGATAGCCTCTTTTAAATGAAAGAGTGATTCAGCTAACCAAAGACCACCCTGAAAGGGGCAAGCTGCATTGCCACTGATTATCTGGCGTACAGTTAATAATTTTTGCTTTTCTAGGGCTAAAGTAAAGCCCACCTAGTCAAAACATACCTTAAAAGCCATACTAAGTCATTCTAATTTTAGCATGTTAGCCTTCTAACAGTTCCTAAATAGTGCTAAGTACAAAGTGTAAATGCAAAATAGACTGAGAATATCTCAGTCTTGTTGATATAAAATAATTACACTCATGTTCATGATGTGTGATCACTATCCCTCTGTCAACCTCTCTCACAGATAATGCAGTTATAAACCTTGTCAAGGTGCCAAAGCAAAAGTCAGATGAGCACCAAAACTTTTAGAACTTCTTCTACAAACATAAAGGGGATGACAGACATCTTTTGAAATACTGACGCATTTTTATCCAGAAGATCCTCTGCTTTCAACTCGTACCTCTGCCCAGTAACCATATAATCCCACAGACTAGTCATATAGATCCTTTCATATACATTTAAAACAGCTGTTAAGAAAGCAGATTGCTTAGCTAACGCCTGGGTGTTAATATATATTGTGTCTCACTGATTGACACATATATTGTGTCTCAGTGTGATTTGGAAATGGCCGTTTATTCTTTTGTTTCTCACACCTCGATTAATGTAATTCATTATTGCTTTGCCTGAGGAAATTATTCCTGAATCGGTTCTCAATGTTACTACGAAACTACTCACCGGGTCCTCTATAAGGTCCATTGTGACGCCGATTTGATCTTCTTCATGCTGGTAAAATTTAGGGTTCAGTTTTGGTTATCACATTTAGAACGCTTCATAATCAGATGTCCTGGATTTGGATTTATTTATTTCTTCTACATCATCCACATGCAATTGCTAGGTCTCTGAGATCAGCTTGCTGGCTGCACCTAGATCTAAGTTAAAGACAAGAGGAGATTAGGACCCACCTGCCCGCAATCACCTTTAATTAGTTTAATCAGTTTATACTGTTTTAATTGTTATGTCTTATTTTGTGACTTTTGATCTTGAACACTGCAATATAACTAGACAATGCTTACTTATTTACATGGCCTAAGGTCAACCATCCATGATGATCTCTTGATCAGATTGTGTTGAGACCTTTTCTGACAGTTCACCCCCAGACGTTTAAAATGTGCCTTCTGTCCTGCTCTTGTGTGCCACAAAGACTGGATGTGGTGAATTTCATGCAGATGCTTTACCACTCAAGGTCACTTTTTTATGATTCTCTGTGTGGGTGGCTAACAGTGACAGGTACAGAAAGATGATCTTTTAGAGAGAAAAGTTGTTCATTAGCACAATCTGAGCTGCAACTGATAGTAGCTCACCAAAGCTTGGAAGTACATCCAAGCAGGTGGAAGCTGCTGTGGGGGGGCTCCGTGGCATTCTGCACTCCTTCATTGTGGTAGCAGCAAACCATTCCAAGTGACTGCTGACTTCCCCGGGATCTCTTACGCCCTGCGTCCTCACAAACGCCATCAGCTCTTGCTGTGTAAGGAGGTGAATCAGGTCCAAAGCTGATTTTTGCAGCCCACCTTTGGATAGAGCCCCAGTATAGTTGTTTCCTCCCGTTTTCAGTCAGTGTGTTAAGCTAACCAGCTGCCAGTTTTACAATGAACTGACAGATGGCAGTGTCACCAGTCCTCTCACAGCGCACATAAAAAGCAAGCATGAGGCAAAAAAGCATTTTTCTTATAATGTATTTTACTTCAGATTGCAATGGATTGTGCACAACAGTTTAAGACTGACTTTACTTCACACAAAGTCTTCTTATTGTTCTAGACACTTGTAATTGTATATGAGAAATTTGAATAAAATTAGTCTCACACATCAATTCATCTACACATAAGAAGCATCTCAGGCCTGTTTAAGGGCCTTTGGAAATGAGTCCATCTAGCATAAAACAGAAAGGGAATTCATGATGTCTTTTTTTTCCTCTGGGAACTTCTCATTTGAATTTTAAACATCTCGACTCCCATTATAATATAGATAACACCGCTAACAGAAAGTGTGAATTGGTTTGACTGGTGCAGAGTGCTAATGTAATGCTTCTTGCCATCATACTCTACTCATGTGACTGTTCTTGCATTTTAAGTGCATACATCGTGAGTGAAATGAAGAACAGAGATGCTCTGAGAATCACTCGGGGCTATAAAGAGGCCTATGCACGACCCTTTGTGGTTCCACTTGTTCACTGTCCAAGGTTTTTCCTTATTCTCATTCTCACTGATTGCCAGCAGCTCAAGTGTATAAGCTTTAGGTCACGAGTGAGCATGAACGTGTGTGTCGCCTCTGTAAAAAAAGCACAAGTATTGCTTCTCTATATTTTAGCATACACAGAGCACTTTGGGAATTTTACAGTATGCCACACAAACATGCTGATATATTGATGCCATTCAATGTATTCCAGTTTTTTATTTTACACCTTTATATATAAAGGAAGCTCCTTATTGGTTGGCTCTCACTCCACCCTCCGCCCCTTTTCCCCTGGTTTCCCGGGCAACCTTGTCAGGGTGGAGGAAAAGAGCAAATCATGTGAGGGTAAAGCATCTTTCTCTCTCTCTCCCCCCTCATTCCCCCCTCTCCCTCGTTCTCTCTTGTCAGTGAGTGTGGTGTGTGTGTATAAAAGCCTCTCTCGCCATGCTGTCACTTCACTCTGAGCTCTTCATTGCATCGCATTAGGCAGGCGCAAGGGTTGAAGACAGGGGAGGGGATACAACCAATGGAGGTCCCTGCTAGGCATTTCCTTTGACCTTCCCTCCCTTTGTGCCTCTGTCACCTCTCCTGCCCACTTTCCCCTCTTCTCCCAATGTGTTGTACATTCCCCTCCTGTCCTCCCCGTCCATCCACTCATTAAACGTGTCCGCTCAGCTTGGACGGTGGCTGCATCGATGCAAAATGGGTTGTGGCAATTCCTCAGCCACCAGCACCACAGGAGGGGGTGAGTGTTTCAGGAATCTCTGTGTACATCCGTTTGTGTGTGCGATACTGGGTGAGCGTGTGTGTGTGTGAGGTGGGCGAGGGGGTTTGAAAGAAAGAGTTGCCACTGTATCTGCAGCGATGGGAGAAGATGTCTTGAATGTCAATGAAGTGTGTCGGGGTTGCCCTTGCGTTTAAAAGAATGTGTGTGTGTGTTTGTTTGGGGGCGGGGTTGTGTGTGTGTATGCCCGTGGTGGTCTCTCGAAGCCATGGGTGGCAGATCGATCACGAAGGATCTCCCATGTCTGAGGCACCTGGGTCTCAAGAATGCGCCGCTTTGATGCAGATCGCGGCTCCTGACACCATAAATGTGGCGTTAACATCTAAGTGAGCAGCTTCTCTCTTAGCATCTTAGTGCTTGTTTGAAAGGGTTCACTGAGGATGGAAGACAAGCAATTTCACTGACATCCATCCATCTTTGTCTTCCCGCTTGACTGATGTTGGTTGTGCCCTATAAGCAGGCGGCACTAAAAATGCCTAATCAACAGCCAGGTTCATTCATAAAGCCTGGAGGACATATTTGAATGGGAAAAAAAAATCCTGTATCGCGTGATTTTACCAACTCTCACTGGGCTATAGTGCTTTTCCGTTTGTTATTTTCCTCATAAAACACCTTTCTTAGTCGATGTAGGCTGATTTTAGACATGTTTCAAGTTTCGCGAAGTAAATCTCTGGGCTCCAGAGTCAAATTGAGGTAACTATTTTCCTGAAGTATCTGCAGGATTACCTCACCCACCACTACCTATTAAAGCACGGTGTGTGTTTGTGCTTCTGCAAATGTGCGTGTGTGTTTGCAGGTACCTAATTAGTACACTAGCAATTTCGACTAGTGGCTGTACTCATTTGTCCATAGAGGCTGACACCAGGTCAGAATCAAGTGTTTCGCTTTCTGTAAATAAAGATAAAAGCATTTCTTCTTTACATTTCCTATTATTTCAATCTATGAACAATTATTTTGTCCCTATAATTTGTTCTGTTAGTGATAAGTTGCATATATACACACATATACCTGTAACTGGAACGTTAGCCTGCAAGTATTCATCACAGAGAACATTAAGTTCAATAAAATTAACTTTGCTTTGCTTTGATTTTAGTGAGGGACAACGTCAAACCTACAAATGCACATTTTCAGGTATAAAGTTTAAGAACTCTGATGTGCAGCTGTTATTTTGCTTACAAAACTCAAAATGACGGCTTTAGTGGTTCTATATCACATTGCCTGTCCCTAGTTTTATGCACCCTGATGTGCTGCCTTGGATATGAATGAGCTTTTGTCAGGCCACTGAATAGGCCCCTGTGTCATGTCAGCATTCCCTCTACGAGGATAAAATGTGCTGTTGCCTATTTGTGTGTAATGTAGATTATCCAATTTTCTACTATTGCAAGTGATTCTTGTGGTGTTCTTTTCAAGGTACATTTCTACTCTTATAAAATAAGGTATAACATGAAAAAGCAATTGGAGGACGCAACTGAGGCTTTTGTTCCACCGCTGTTGTCAAAGTGCGACTGTACATTCAAGAAAAAAGTCAGATTATCCTCCTGCAGAATGCATTATGATGTTATTGCAATTCAAATCAAGCTCAGTTGACTGCCTGCAGTTTGGCAAAGCACAAAGTGTTGTCGGTCTATAAAAGAGTCAAACAGCATGGAGATGAGCTCAGTGGGTATCTGCAACTGAGGCATCATACAGTGTATGTCCAAAGTTATTTTACAATATGTTCCTCTTTGTAGATCAAGTCATCACGATGGTTGTTATCAACCGGTACACGTGCCATGTCACAAAGCTCAGATCATCCCAAACTGGTTTCTGGAACAGCTCATTTAAAGGCTATGAGAATCACAGGCATCTCAAACATAGGCTGTAAATGCTGTTAAATTGGGAATGTTCATGCTGTGTATTTGCCGTTATAAAAAATGAATGAATAAATCCAGCATTAGTTATAACTTTGGTCACTAAGTCTTTGAGGTGGTGTGCAACTACCTCCACAAAAAGATTTCAGTAAGTAAATAAATAAAACACCAGCTTGCAGTGATGTTGTGAATATTATTGTGAGCACCAAAGATTAGTGTCACCAATTCAGTATCCGACTAAATGTGAAATAAGGCCAATATCACATCTTCTGTTGCTGAATTATGGTCCTGAGTAATGGCCAGAAAAGCATTTTTACAGAACATTATAAGGTCACAGAAGTTCACCAGTCATCACCTCTATTTGATCATATTAGGCATTTCTATTTGTCACAATTTGCATATGAATTTGAGTGGAAGTCAAAAATATGTTGAGTGAGTATCTTTGACCAGTTCATTCAGCTTCAACAAATAACAATTGTAATGCCTGGTTGAATTTCACGTTTGTCGAAACCGCACGTGATAATTACACTGGGAGGGGTTCGTTCTACACCTTCCGAAAATATTGCCAGTTAACGGTTCACTTTCGTCACCCTAGCAATTAAAGAAGCCAATAAAGTGTTGAATTTTTGTAAGGTAAGTCTGATAAGTGTGGCAGATACAGAAGTAGTGTAGGCATTATTTATGCGCATTGAAGTATCTAAAAATACAGTTGCCAGTATACTAGGCAAGGCCTTGTTTTGCTCACAAAACAGCCTCTATTCTTTGTGGCGTGGATTCCTCGAATGACATATTTGCATTACATCACTCTTGTAGAATCGTCAGCTGCACATTCATGCTCCCTTTGTGCTACTGGACATATTAGCAGTGTTATGCTGAATGCAGATCTGCTGACTTGAGATACTCTCAGGTCCACCAGACTTGTCATGAGACCAGTGTGAGACAATGTTTGTGATGTGGTGTTCTGTCATACTTTATGGGAGCATAAAGGAATCAATACATTGTAGCACATTGGGTGCATGGATTTTTACCCTTGAGACATTGCACTGCACTCTTGCAGCAAGACTGACAGATTGGAGAATGATGTATGAATGACGCTGGTGCATAGGTGTTCCTAATAAAGTGCTCAGTGAATGTGTAGTTCAAATTCAGTGACTGTTGATTAAAAACCTGCTGTGCAGTTCACTGATCGTAAATGCAAAGAAATTAATTATCAGTTTGGTGAAACACACCTGCTTTGACCACTTGTACATTTCATAATGGAATGAAATTAACTTCTGGCTTGTCATCTGTTCTCAGGGCCAGCAGAAGTCTCCAAAGATGTGTAAGTACTTAAGCCATTTTCTAATTATTTAAAGTATTTCTAAAACTCTGCAGGCTCCAGGCCTTGAAGGTTTGCATCAAATTTTACACTGTACAAAATTAGCTTTATACCTCAATGCTGTATATTAACACTGACACTTAGGGTCATTTAACAATGGTAAATATGCAAGGGTTTGACAGTAAAGATCATCATTGTTAACATTTTTTAATTTACATGTGTCTTGATGCATGCTCAATCTTCCAGGTAAGAAAATTTCCAAAGGTTGATTCTGTTCATCTGGACGTAGCGTTTTCAGTGGGAGACACGCTTTGTCACTCATCCAAGTGACTTCTTCAGTCTCAGCTGACTGTTTATAAGATTAGGGAACCCTGCAGTCAGCTGAGACTGAAGAAGTCACTTGGATGAGTGACAAAGCGTGTCTCCCACTGAAAATGCTACGTCCAGATGAACAGAATCAACCTTTGGAGATTTACATGTGACATGTGAAGTTGGGCACCACAGTGGTGTGGTAGTTAGCAATGTTGTCTCACAACAATAAGGTCCTGAGATTGACTCTGCCATCTGGCTGGAGCCTTTTGTGTTGACTTCACATGTTCTCCCTGTTTTTGTGTGGGTTCCTCCTACAGTCAAAGATGAACAGTTAACAAAATCTTAGGCAGCATAATGTAAAGTATGGTTGGTTACACCGTTGTGCAATAAAGAGGATGCACGTTGTATCACAAGACAGCTGATCAGTTTGTTTCATTAGGTCATTTACACAAGGCATTTTGTAGAGGTTTATAGCACATTTGACAGTTTGTCGTCAAACAATAACTGTAATCTGGACTTTTTTTTCTCAAAATAGAATTACGACTTTATTCTTAAAATGATTTTTCCCTCTAATGTGGCCCTAATACTCCTGCGTAGTGGATTGTCCCAGTTGACAGTGACAGAAATATTTTAATTTCAGACTAACCACTCTGCTTTTGTTGTATATACTTTTGGTTAAAAATAATTTATTTTGGCTCCCAAATAGTTTTGTGTTCTGTTCTTTGTTTTTTCTTTTTTTTTTTATTCTAATTGAAATACAGAAGATATACTTTTCTTTGCTATCTAGAATACAGTAAAAAGCTTTGGGAGGGGCAGCTTTTTCCAAAGCATTTCCTGGAAACACTGTGTATGTGTGTTTGTGCTTTATTGTAGTTTGTGTTTGTGTGTGTAAGTGTGTGTGTATTCCACTTCATAACCATCTGAACAGCCAGCACAGGACCCCTGAGAGCTGACAGTAAAGCATTGACTCAGTGAAGCTAATCACAGCTATCTATGTCTGTACTACACAGCAAACTACCACACAAAAGCTCATGCACACACACTCACAGAGCAAGACACACTGTTAAGGGAATAATATACTCACAAAACTGAAAAGTGTGATACAGCTTGGCTTGCATAGGGATAGTGCACACAGTGAATAAACCTTCACATCGGCTTCATGTTGTTACCATGTTTGATCTTAATGATCAGCCCCCACATCAAACCTGAGACCACTTTAAGTTTGTTGTTCAGCAGGCCTGAAATAAAACTGGAGGTTTGGTCTATAGAAGTTCCTGACAGAGAAGTATTCCCTACAGGGCTTGAGCAGCATACTGAAGATTTCTGAGGCTAAGCAAAAGAACAATGTTTGCACTTTCTCTCTATTTTGTATATTTGTGATTTTTTTTATTTCCTCTCTGCTCCCACATGACCTGACCTGTGCCCATTCTCTCAATCAGGACAGAAGATCCCTCAGCAGAAGATGAGAAAAGAAGGTACTTTGCAGCACCCTTGAGTGCACTTTGCTAAGACGGCTATACTTGAAATGAAATATACTTGAAATTTTTGATCGCAAAAATGTCAAATAGTTTGTTTTGCAGCATTCTCATAATAAAGTGCAAGGTTTAAACAAGTAAATGAACAATAACTCAAAAAATAAATGAATAAAATGATAAATGAATTTCATTTAGAGGTCTGTAAGTTTGATGGGATACTGGTAATGCTATTAAAAACATCCACTAAAACAAAAATCAATGCCATCTATGGTTTTTAATTGCTACTTGGTCTTTAAAACCTCTCCTCCTCTCTCCTCTCAGGAACTATGGTGGTGTGTATGTAGGTCTGCCAGCAGACCTAACGACTGTGGCTGCCAGCCAGTCCAAAGCTACACGTAAAGGTGAACTGCAGCACGCATTACGTACACGAATCTCTCACATTTAGAAGCAGAACTCGGTGTGGCGAACAGTGAGCTGTTATACCGCCGACATCTGGCAGCCTCTCAGGCATCTCACCACATGAAACCACGCCACCACGTGGAACCACGTCGCCAGCAGCGTCTTCGGTTTTATTTGACCTTTATTTTTTACTGAATATTAATGAGAAACATTTACTTTGCTATACCCAACAGGGTACTGATATTTGCAAAGTTAAATATAGTTGACGACAATTATTCTGTCTAAAAATTGTATTTTTAATCAACATGGGCTTTACAGAGAGCCACATTTTTGTGCATATTTTAAATGTTATTCATTTTCTCTGTTTACAAAGTAAAACGTCTTTATGTATGTAAATGACTTTCTGATGGAGAAATATAAGTGATAAACTGCCATGCCTCCTGAATTAAGGGTTTAGAGTAAACTCACATCGCTCTTGCGTTTTGCGGCCCTGAGGGCTTTCTTCTCGCATACATGTCCTTGTGCTCATTGAGGTTAAATATAATAATGGATTGATTCAGTTTTGTATCCTCTGGCATGAGAAGTATTGGCTCTTGTTTTTATTGAAGCCAAGATGTTCAAACTGCTGGGTGGAGTGTGTGGGTGTTTTTCAACACAGTCTTGACTGTGAGACAAAAACACCAGAGAAGAATAAAAAAATGTTTGTCAAATAATTGTCCTATAAATATCTGAACACTGACTCAGTTGTTTCTTCCTTCTTGCAGACTAGCAACCATTCAAGGAAACGCACAAGAGGTACCTGAAATATGAAGCCTGTTTGTTCGGCTTTTAACATTGCTTATTCAGTGCAAAAGACTCACGTGAAGGCCGCTGACTCCATTTTTTTCTCTCATCTCGACAGGATCCTGCATATTAATTCACGTACAAACAGTCACATTACAAGCAAAGAGCATGTAAGCCCTCTGATTCTGCCCCACCACAGACTGAATAAAGTCTCAGGCACTAGTACTCTACGAAGATGTGGACGGCCTGCAGGGGCTGGGGGGATGTTCCCTCACAGAGTAATGGGTGGCAAAGTGAAACAGAGTTGCACATCAGAGGCCTGCAAAGGGATTGTATCATCGCCCTTTACTTTGCAAATACTAGGAAAGCACTCAATCTGGGACTAGCAGCTATGGACAGCGGCACCGGTCTTATCGACAGTCATCTGGATTTCTCGGTCAATTCACTGGAAATTTCTCTTTCTCAGGAGGAGACAGATGATCCAGCCAACTTACTAAATAACTGGGTGGGGGCTGACACACTCCCAACAGCCCTCTGCAATAATAATCACTGCTCAGTTATTTCTCTAAAACGCCATCAATGATTCATTGTGTGGCAGGGATAGAGTTATAGAGAGACAGAGATAAACCAGAGTTTCACTCACACACACACACACACACACACACACACACACACACACACACAC